ATTAGCCTTTTATCGGTTGTCGGCAAGCTTTATGCTAAATTTCTCTTAGCAAAATTGGAAGGCTGGCTCACAACATCCAACATAGTAGGCCCAGAAAAAATAGGGTTTCGCCGTGGCAAGACCACCCTCGACCACTGTGTCGTTTTATCACATTTAGTCTCTAAATACAGTGGGAAATCTGGAAACAAACTCTTTGCTCTCTTTTTAGATCTCAAGGCGGCATTTGATTCAATCTCGAGAGAGTTGCTTTGGGTTAAGCTGGCCAAGATAAACATGGACCCCAGACTGCTCTCCCTGATTAAAAACCTGTACACACGCACCAGCTGCCAAGTCAGGTACAATCTTCAGGGGAATTTAACTCCGGAAATTCCAGTTTGTAAGGGTGTGAAACAGGGCTGTATCCTTGCCCCAGCACTTTTTAACCTATTCTTAAATGATTTAGCCCCAGCTTTACATGCAGTCAACGGACATGCCCCTAAACTTGCCCACTGCCACGTTCCCATCTTATTATATGCGGACAACACAGTTCTACTGTCATGTTCCCAAATCGGACTGAGGCCTTTATTACAACAAGCTACGACTTATCTCAATGCCAATCAGCTAACCCTGAACTACGGGAAAACAAAGATCTTAGTTTTCTCTAAATTTGGAAACAATTATCATGGTCAATACAGGGAAATTCTACTGAGTAGGTCAAAACTGTCAAATACCTAGGGATTTATTTTTCCTATAATGGTAGCTGGGCAACCCATCATAAATGTGCTGTATCAGTGGCAAGAACTAGTGCCTTGGCCATTGCCCTTTTTTTATTTGAAAGGGAACCGATATGTCCCAATGGCCCTAAGAGCTTTTAACACAAAATCTAGCCCCCAGCTCTTATATGGTGCCCCTATATAGATCGACGCCTTCAATCACACTACCGAAGGAAAATACTCGGGCTACCAAATTGTGTCCCCTAGGCTGCAATATGCACGGAAACCGGATCTTTATTGCTAGAAACCTGTGCCTGGTTCTCAACCTTTAAGTTTTGGCTTCACCTTTTATTTAACTATGACCAGAACTCCCTCACCTTTTCGATGCTGATGCATCATCATGCATCCAAATGGTTGACTGTGATCCAGAAGAAAATCATATCCCTAGGAATTTCTCTGGACACATTCTATCTGTCCTCTGCCTTGGCAATATTTCAATCAATTAAATGCAGATTGCTAGACATCCAACTGCAACATCTGACTGAGGCAGCTCGGAAAACCTATTCTCCTAGTCAACATCTAGGGTCTATCCCAGAATTCTTGGCTTCTAGCTTCCTACTTCTTTTACTTAGTTGATCCTCACCAAAGAAGAGCATTCATACTGCCTAGATTTAACGCACTACCGTTGGCTGTTCTATTTGGAAGATTCCGCAGAACCCCACGCAATCTTAGACGATGCCCTTGTAGCCAAGGAGCCATCAAAACAGTCCCTCTTGTTCTTTTCAACTGTCCTTTCTATAGCAGCTCCCGAGCAAGATTTCTTGATCCATTACTCTCTGACTCTCAAGATCTTTCTGATAATGCCAAGGTTTACTTTTTAGTCCATAGGGAAAACAGTTATGTCACTACTCATGTTGCTTGCTTTTTACAATCTGCGATCCAAATTAGAGAGACTATCTCCCAGGTATAGACCATGTTTGTATTAATCCCCCCCCCCCATTTTAATCTGGTTTTAAAGGACTTATGATATCTTACACTTTTATTTCTGGGCTAAAGTATATTGTACTTCTTTAATGCCAATAAAGGTCTGTCTGTATGTAAAATTAGTGCAGGGAAATCACTCCAGAGGAACACCACAACCATGATACAAGGATATTATCTGCAACCGGGATCTGAAGGCCTTAGGGATGGACCTCAGCAGGTGGGAAACCCTGACATCTGAGTGTTCAGCCTGGAGGCAGGCATTGCATCACGGCCTCTCCCAATTTAAAGAGACCCTTGTCCAGCAGGCCGAGGCAAAGAGGCAGTAACGAAAGCAGCAAAATCAGGGATCTAGACGGGGTACAGATTGGATTTGTCTTCAATGTGGAAGGGATCGTCACTCTTGAATTGGCCTCAGCCACAGTAGACGCTGTTCCAAGTCCTCCAAACAAAGCACGATATCATAGTTTCTGGAGACTGAAGGATGCCTAATCTTTATTTGGTGGCCATACATTCCATTAATTCTTTTTTGGCCTTCTATCTCATCTGCTTACGTCTTTTGCCAGAGTTTGTTTTGTTTTCCTCAGTTGGGAAGCATTTCTATTTAACACCTCTTTAACTCTGTTAACACCCTTTAACACCTCTTTAACTCTGTTCTTTAACCTTCTTGGACTTAATTGAGCTCCCCTTTTTTATTGGGATACACTTCCCCTGGGCCTTGACTACCGTTGTATTAGGCTCCATACCATCTGGAGAGATTTTTTTACCTTCCCTCTCAACTTCTTTTTAGCTAGTTTCGTCATCTGTGGGTAGTTCGCCCTTCAGAAACCAAAGGGTTTTTGATCTGGAGGACGATAGCACATCCAACCCACAGTGATTCTGTGATGGACTGAGATCACCATCTATCTCCATTCTCCTGGATTCTACCCCTTCTTTGACCTAGATGGCCACCCTGCCTCCCACAAGCCCCCTCCCTATCCCTCCTGGGACTGTGGAATCGATGGTGGCCACTGTATCCATGTTCTATCTAACCTCCAAATGTGCCAGTACCCCCCTCTTTGCTCAGATGCTTCAGGCATTTGTGTAAAAGCACCTGCATATGGGGACCCCCAAGAAGGGCGGCTTGGTTTTTTTTCCCCCTATAGAGAGCTCCTTGCAACGAGGACACACCCATGACACTTTTGCCCAAGAAGCATGTAGTCATGCAGATGACCCTCGGTGTAAAACACAGGATAACCCCCAATCCACTGCTGTCTTCCTGAGTGCATGCTGGTTTTTGTTTCAAGCTTCCCAAACCTCTTCCTTAAAGGACACGAGAGGCAGGATCTGGGGCCCTGGCTTCCTCCCCCCCCCCCACCGCTGAACTTGCTGGATCTTCTTACCCTGCTCTTGGCGGCAGGAGGCAAGGACCGATAATGTGACCCCATCTGCAACAGAATGTGCAGCATTCAGAATTCGTCATATTTCGCTGGGGTCAGATACCTTCTCCATTTCAATGTATAAATTGAATGTTCATTTCTATTCCTCTCACATGACTTGGTTTAGGTCTCTCTGGAGCCAGAGGCTGGGAGTTCCCTTCTAGCTCTGCAGTTCTAAGATTCTATTAACTCTGTACCTATTTCCCTGGCCATCTCTGCTTCCTATACTGTTTTCAAAAATGCCTCATGATTCTCTACCCGTAAGAGCATCTCATAAATTCTACATTCCATCCCTTTCATGGACCTGTCCTTTCTCTTCTCCCACTGAAGGATAACCTCTGCAGACTTTGTCAGTTCCCTGCATTGAGCACTCACTGCTCTTCACCTGTTCCCGAGTCCAATAATCGAGCTGCATCACATTCATCCACATTAACTGTTGCTGGGTGATTCTTCTTCTCTTGTTCATCATCTGGTAGATTAGAAAAAGAAGAGAAACAACCACTTCAGAAATCTGAAGCTTCAGTCACAGCAGCCACCTGAGTAGACATAAAAGAACATTAACTGTTCATTTTCTAACACTGTCCTTCCCCCCCATGTTCATTTTTGCTAACCAATCCTTTAATTCAAATATTTGTTTTCTCTTTAATAAACTTTGAGAAAATCCTTTCTAATTTTCTGGAAAATTCACGACAGTCACTGGGAGGATAAAAAAAAGAGAATTAAAAATTGATCTTCGGTCCAGTTTTCATTTTAGACGTGACATTTTGACCAAAGTGTGATGGCTGATATTCCTATAATCATTTAAATTGTTTTTAATTTCTAACTTCAACTTTTGAACTTTTTGCTTTTTAAAATCTTTTAATTTTAGTAACATTTATTCCTCCTTATCGTAGTCTATATAGTAATAGCATTTTTCCTCCTTATTCTACTAAAACTTCATCTCAAATTTATTCCCATTTATTTTGTCCTTTCCCCACTCATTATAACTGCTGCTGATCATGGTGATCTCTCCTTAAGAGGCATCTAGAACAGTGTTTCCCATCCTGTTTTGAGTCGTGACCCACTTGTATAATTGCTAGGAAATCTGCAATTTTCATTAAAAGGCATTTTAATGGGATAACAACATCACATCAAAATAGACATTTCAGAATAGAATGTGATGCTAATAATTAAGGGAAGGCTGCAAATCTGCCTCTACCAATAAAAATTGAGAAGGAAATAAAGTTAATATATTTTGACGTACAGTGGTGCCTAGCTTAGCGATTGCTCCGTTGAGTCACAAAATCGCTTAGCGATGGGGTTTTGGCCATTGCAAGAACGATTGCTTAGTGATGACCCCTATGGGGAAAAATCGCTTTGCGATGATTGCAGGGAAGCGATCATGGCAAAGCGAACTTTTTTAAACAGCTGATCGGCGGTTCCAAAATGGTCACCGGAAAAACAAAATGGCCACCGCTTTTTTGACTCACTTTAGAGGCACCCAAAATGGCCGCAGCTATGGAGGAATTTCACTTAAGGTTAGTTTCTAAGCCGATAGGAACGCATTAAACACGTTTTAATGCGTTTCTATGGACTTATAAAAATCGCTTAGCGATTAAATCACTTAGCGACATTTTTCCGGAACTGATTAACGTCACTAAGCGAGGCACCACTGTACTTTTTTGGTTGTGGAAATGTTCCTTCCTTCATGACTCATCCCCCCCAAAGGTTCCTCAGCGAATTGCCCCTCCCACCTTGAGGCCAAAGGAATGCCGTCAGGTCCAGCTACACAGACACCCTGGTTCTCCTCCCTCACATTTTTGCCTGTCTTTCCTTCCTCCTCCATTACTCAGACAGAGCACAAATGCATTTCTCCTTATCCCTGCAGATTTCTGAAGTGGTTGTTTCTCTTCTTTTTCTAATCTACCAGATGATGAACAAGAAAAGAAGAATCACCCAGCAACTCCTGGGGCAACCTCAGAAGAAATAGATAAACAAGGAAAAAAATCAGAGAACTGAAAATCCAACTGAGCAGGAATAGATGTCACCTGAAAGAACTCTTGCAAGGGAGAAACCAAATAAATGCATGTCACTGCAGTAGACATCAAAGAACTCATACAGAGCAGAAAAATTATCCATGCATGGAATGTGGAAAGAGCTTTAGTCACAGCGGTACTCTGAAAAGGCATCAAAGAACTCACACTGGGGAGAAACCATATATATGCATGGAATGTGGAAAGAACTTCAGCCAGAAGGTCCAACTGCATTCACATCAGAGAACTCACACTGGGGAGAAACCGTATGAGTGCATGGAATGTAGAAGGAGCTTCAGTTGCAGCAGTGCCCTGAGTAGACATCAAAGAGCTCACACTGGGGAGAAACCATATAAATGCATGGAATGTGGAAAGAGCTTCAGTAAGAGCGGTCATCTGAGTTCACATCAAAGAATTCACACTGGGGAGAAACCGTATGAATGCATGGAATGTGGAATGAGTTTTATTCACAGCGGTACTCTGAAAAGACATCAAAGAACTCATACTGGGGAGAAAACATATAAAAGCATGGAATGTGGAAAAAGCTTCAGTCACAGCAGCCACCTGAGTAGACATAAAATAACTCACACTGGGGAGAAACCATATAAATGCATGGAATGTGGAAAGAACTTCAG